AGACTGGCTTATAGGTCCGTGCCATGTCCGCTTTCACATGCCTAACACTCTCTAAAATTCGCGCTGGATCGTGGTGCCAGGATAGGTGATGTGACCACCTGACACACTTTCAGGATTGAACCCAGCAGCACTCATGAATGCCTTCAGGTCGTCGACCTTGGCTGACTTGACGCCTGAGGTCTTGATCCACTGCAGATACTCGGACATCTCCTTAGACGAACGACTTTCGTCGAGCATCTCTTGGTAGCGGATCTTGCGGCCCTTCACCTTGGGAAGTGTGCAAATGGTAGCGCCCCACTCAGCAATGGAGCTGATGCCAGGAGGCAACGCGACTGCCGCCGGCTTTCCCTTGTCTTGCATTGGAGGAATTGGGTGTTGCACATTCACACTCATTGGCGCAGCGTTCTGGCCATGTAGTCCTGGTGAAGAAGACGGCATAGGGACACAGGCGGCACTCACAAGTTCAAAACCATGGTCACCTGAGCTCTCTCCTGCGATCAAACGGCGCTTCGAACCATCATGCATGGCTCCATGCGTCGTGGGTTCCCAAGACGCATCAGCTTGTGCATCAATCTCATCCTGAACTCGCGACACTACACTCTGCAGCTGACCTCGACGCAAGAGGTCTTGGATGACCTCAAAGGTCTCCTGAGAAATCTGTTCCTCAGTATGACTGCTGCGGTATGCCATTTCGCGATGCACCTAAGCTTCACAAAACAAAACGAGTCACGAGCGGCTTTGCTTGAACCGTGAAAACTCTTCCCAAAGTGCAGGTCTGGACTTTCCGTGTCTTTGGACGAAACGAATTCGCGTGAAACTGCATCATCGACACTGCACAAACAGATCGAAAAGAAAAAAAAAGGCCTCTTGCCTGGTATGAGTCTACCCCCTCTCATTCAACGGCACTCCCGTGAGATGACAGGGCCGGAGCGAATGACACGACCAAACGGACACATGTCCTACATCAACAAGCGAGGTCTGTCAGCCCCAGCACCTTGGCTTGTTCAGCGAACAAGCTACCCCAAACAAAAACATGTGACATAGGTGTTCTCACCGATGTCCTTTCCCCTGACCCTTTGTGCTGTTTTTCTTTCTTTCTTGTTGTTCTGCCTCCCACTGCATTTGCCTGACTCTTCTGGCTTGTCTTTCGTTTCGAAATTCTTTTTTTGCGGGCAAGCACTTGAGCTTCAGGATGAAGCTGGTATTCACCTAAGGCCAGAGCGGACCTCAGTAAGTCAGCTGCTTCCTGAGAGTCCTTGGTCAAGCCATCAGCCAGCATCAGTTCTGTTGGACACCACCGAATGGTGAGGCCACATCGGAGCATGGACTGTTTGATGATACCTAAGTCTATGGCAATGCGTTTGTCGTCTTGTTTGGAAATGGCTGACACCGAAGTGATGTTGTCAAACAGAGATTTGCAATCGGTGATGCCGGTGATGGGGACCCTTTCAATCTCATCTCTAAACAGCGTCTTTGCACCCGTCGTAGGTGGAAAGTCTTTCACCTGCCCAGTTGTTCTTAAATCAAAGGGACCGTGCTTGGCTTCCACTAGCATGAGAGCCATCCATTCACACACTGCACTAGCAGTTGAAAAGGCCTGCGCTTCTCCACCTAAGGTACATGCTACCTTGCGAGGCAAACGATATGACTTCCATGCGAACGGTGACCACACACTCGGCTGATTCTGTTTCAGCTGGCCATCTACAAAAGCAGCAATGTATCCCGCCTGAGTACTATGGCCCTTAGCGTTTCCGAATCCAGCATCCGAGTGAAAACACAATTCGATCGAGTCCCA